AAGGCCTAATTTGCCTCCATTGCTGTAGAACAGCTGTAAATTGTTAATCCATTACTTGGTCCCTAAAAAGAAACATGTATTTAGGGCTCTAAAATAAACATCACACTGAAATTGCTTTTTAAACCTCAGTTTAGCACTTACTTTGGAGAATATGCACCACTTAGAGCATTTTGGGATTAAACTGTTCATAAATGTTTTTTCCCTTTAAGGTAAGATGGTGTCCAGAACCTCTAGGCACCATAACAACATCAATGAGATGCAGGGTTTTATTTGTGAGCAGTGTTTGTGTGTTTTAAAGTAAGCATGTTTTTTTTTTATAGTGTATGTGTGTGCATGGAGAGGACACTGCTCACCAATACAACCCTGAAAGAATGATAAATAGTAGATCATCAGCAGGCAGAACATCATGAGAGTTGTAGGAGGGTTGAGGATCTACCTTTGGCCACCCTTGCACCGTGGTTCTCTCTACATTAGTTCTGCCACTGTCTAGCATTAGATTATATCAAGAAGAAGGGGGGATTTCATTGTAGGAAGTACCAAATATCTCTGCTGTAGTTGTTGAATCAATACTTGTGTTGTCTGATTAAGTCACTGGAGAAATAATCTATCTGTGTGTATTAGTGAGCTTGTGTGTTTTTGTCAGTGAGATTGCTTGTGTGTGCATATTCTCATTGTATAATTTTGTCGTTCCCCTCTCCCCCCCCTCACCAATATTTTGTATTAAAAAACAAACAAACCTATAAGTTTGTCAGGCCTGGTCAGTACAGAACTGAAATACATCTCTATTCAAGGCTATTCACTAACATTTGCATTGTGTGCATACAAACCAGCTTTTTAATTTCTAAAATGACAGACTGCAACCGAGCCACTGCTTTAGTCTATTCAAGTTGGGGATGTGTAAAAATCAAAATAGGCGAGTCATCAAAAGAGCACCGACACCGAAAACAAGCTGAATGAAGTTGCGTGCTTCTGAAATTATAACTTGAAAAAAAGAATTAATTGTAATGTAATGTAAACCACATAAAATATATATGTAAACAAATGAATATACAGACAAATTAATACATACATAAAAAAATCAGTGTTGGTCCCCAGGACCGCTGATAAACCAGGCAGCTGCCTCTCTCATATGCTCATGTTTATCGCCTGTAAAACTTGCATTATGGTCGGTCCCCTATTTCCAGTGTGTTATAAATTGTTTGCATATAAATAGATTTAATCCTAACAAAGAACATAAACAGTCAACAGTGTGATATTTCTGTTCTCGTTATCTAGTAGCATAACAGCAGAAGGGATGTCATTTTATATAAAAGGGCTGCTAATCCGAAGTTAGATGTATTTGCCTGTTCCCTATATACTATAAAATAAAGGCACACCGAGGGTGACTGACTGTATAATTAGTAAAGAAGAGGGAGATGGGGGTGCAACATATGCCAAATATACTGAATCCAGCTTTCACTATTGCCATGTTGAGACAAAAATTATGCCCTCCTTTCAAAAAGTATTTTAATGGATTAAAATTTCATACCACGCTTTAGGTTCTGTAAAATATGAATACATGCATGAAATTTTAATCAGAAATCAGAAGAACCCTACATAGGAAGAGACAGTGACTTCCCCCACATGTCGAAGGGTTGGAGCGATAAAAGGGAGCTGTAATGTGATTAGGCATGCCACTGCTGTGCCTAGGACACTAATGGTCCAGGACAGGAGAGATTCTGCTCCTTAGCTTAATGTGTCTGCTTTCGGTGGGGTTGTTAGCTATACCTATAACACATGGCCCAATGTTACAAATTAATTCAATGTATGTGACTGATCTACCATTGACATGACAGCCTTCTTCAAAAACAGCTAAATATTTCTCCAATTAACAAAAAATAAAAAAACAACTCTATATATACTGCTGCAACTATAACAGTAACAATACTACCAGGAGCCAGGGCTGTGTTAATGCATGGGCACTCTGGGCAGTTGCCCGGGGGCCCCACAAGCATAGGGGCCCCACAGGTTTGACAACTTTTTAATATATTCCAGAAAAAAAATTCAGAACCTTTAAAGATTCTTTATTAAAACATTTAGGTGGACTAATCACCTAAGTATCAGATGTTATCTGTAAAAGAGATCTTGCTGTTGCAAACACATATCTTGACCTTGATGAAAACATACACATACTAATTTTACTTAAGCAAGACAAAACCAACACAAATCATTTTTGAAGCCATAAAGCTATAATAAAGTTCTTCTGATATTTTTAATAGCCAGTGTCAGTTGCCTTCCCGCTGCTACTACTAAACTTTGTATGGATTCATCTCTGCTGTACAGCATGTTTTTTAATGTTTAATGACTGATTTTGTTGAAGGTAACAATAAATATGAGCTTAATTTTATTGATAATTTAAATTTGTATTCCAGTGAGTGGTTGTGTAGGCAGAATCCAGTGCAGTGCTTTGCCTGGGCACCTATGATGCTGTTAAGATGGCCCTGAGTATATCCACATTTCTGGCTATATAAAAATTAGCGAAAAGAGAATGCACATGTTAGCTCCATTTCTTCAAGGTAATGTGATTAGCAATGTTAAACACATGGTCCTGAATACTTCAGTTGCGTCACATCCCAATAGTGAGAGTCACGGATAATCCCATTTTTTTTATCATTACAGATTTATTCATTTTTCAATAAAAAAAAATAATTGGTGGATTTATAAAAGGAGTATTGTTGCTTAACATCTGTAATGCTTTTTGGCCACGGTCTGTGTGCCATGTTGCATAACACATATCATTTTAAGTTACTATTAATGAAAATTACAGAATTCAGTATACTCTAATGTCTTCTAGTCCAATAGAGCATCTTTGAGATCTGGTAGGAGATTTGCAACATGACTACGCAATATGACTATGCAGCCACAAAATATGCAGCAACTTCGTGAAGTTTGCAGGTCAACATGGACCAGAATTTCTATGAACTATTTCCAGCACATTGTTAAAGCTATGCCACAAAGAGTTCAGACTGTTCTATGGCAAAGAATTTGAAATGCGTATCTAATAAAAAATATTTGTAAGGTTTGTGGTGATTTGGTTATGTGATGATGTCGGTGTATACCTCCTAATGATTAGATTTAAATCTTGTTGGATACAAATTCTAAAAAATGTTTTTGCTTAAAATGTTACTTATAGAGCACATGCTGTTTTTAACTATTTTTAATGTGTTGTGAAAACAAGATCTGATTCTAAATGTCTATTTTTACATCTTTAATAGACCCATTATATTGTGAATTCAATTTTTAGGATAACCATTTGTATGGTGCTCTCAACAGTGAAACTTTCACTTTTAATAATAATAATTATTATTATTTAATGAGTGCCAACATGTTATGTAACAAGACAAACAATTAATTCTAACAAAACAAATTTGACATACAGGAAAAGTAGGTGAAGGGAGCCCTGCCCAAATGACCTCGCCATCTAAAACGCCTTATTATTAAAGTCACTACAACCATTCTATTGCTGAGAATTAATCAATAGCATTTAGTGTACCAGTCACACTCCAAAAGCCGTGAACTGCAACTGCTGTTAGTCTCAGACAGATAAGAGATCTCTCCCTGGACAAGAGTACTGTTATTTTTCATCCAATAGAATGCGAATTAAAAAAAAAGGTGTAAAAACCAACTTGTGTCCACGTTCCCAAGCATAACCCATTGTCAGTTATGGCACTTTGAACTTGCAGCAATAAAGTGCCCAGTTCAGCTGTTGACATTGGGATGTTAGTGTTGGGCAAAAAAGGGGTGATCCAGTTTTGTTGCAGAAATTGTAGATGTAGGACTTTAGAGACTTTAAAACACCAGCTACACATGTTGAAACGTTATAGAATATTAGTTCTGTTTCACCCTCAAGCTATCTCTTTACTCTCCACCATTTACCTTATCTCTTTTCCGTACAATCTGTATTTACTTCATCAACAAGCTAGGCTCTCAATGAACCAATTTACAACACACTGCATCAAAATTCAACAATCTTTCAGGGATCAATCTGATAAAAAAGTAATTCTAGGCAATAATGAAATTCATGCTCTATCATCCCATCCAGTTTTATACATATTTCCCATCTGCTTTATTAATTTATTTTCTTTACCCCAAGTTAGTCTCTAAACTTAAGATTCTGCAAACTGCAGCAAATTAAAAAAAAAAGATTTGCAAAATTAAGGCTAAAATAGTTGATCACTTTCAACTCACCTGTACTCACAGGTTGGGTATTTTTTTATTATTATCCAGTTTTTTAATTTGCAGCAATCCAGTGTTTAGTGAGTATCTTTTGTTCTGAGCCTATCACTGGCCACTCATGGTGAGTAATATTTAACCACTGCAGTCCAAGCAAATTGTTATTATTATCGCCATTTATATAGCGCCAACAAACTCCACACCGCTTTACAATATTATAAGGGGGGGATTTAACTATAAATAGGACAATTACAAGAAAACTTATGTTACGGCTCCCCCGGTAGGAGAGGGGTTACTGCCGTATAGGACGTTCCCTTACCGAATGCAGAGGTAGCTACTGAGTGCTCCAAACTGCCGAACAGCAATCACACCAACCCGTTGGTCTCCAAAAACAGCCGAACAACAATCACACAAATCAGTCTGTCTCCCAAATAGTCGAACAGCATAATCCATACGAATAATCCCCCCAATGACGAGACAAAGCTCCGTAATGAGTGTCAGCAGGAATCTGTTTTACTGAGGGCTACCTGCCCGGTATTTATGCAAGTCTCCCAACTGGTGGACACTCCCCTAGGGGACCAGATGGGAGACTGTGACAAGGACATTACAACAACCAATCACAGTGTTACACCTGTAGCCATGCCCCTTTAATTACCTAAGACCCTCTGCTCTGCCCGGGAGATAATTGTGAAATAATTCAATTATCTCCCTGGACAGAGACCAAATGCCATTTCAAATTACTATAACAAAATGCATAAAAATATATAAATTTACAATAACTGGACATAATACAGGCATTCAACGTGTCTCCAGATAGCTGTGTGCATAGGATCTGAGCGCTATTCGGTACTTTTGTGCGCTCAGATCCTATGCACATAGTCCAATCGCCGTGGAGTCAAAGTGCTCACACAGTCTGTTCTCCATCCGAATAGACTCCATGGGATGGCTATCTGGGGTATAGCTTATTCGCGGACAAAATACCGAATACAGGGGTCTTCGGGAGTTCTCTACCGAATGAGAAGGGAGGTCGGCGACATCAGCGGTGTTCGGACCAAAAAGTGTCAGTTTTGAGTTCCATGAGTTTACAGTTGAACACCGCTGAGCATTCATGGATTTAAAATGGCCGCGACCCTTGTGTTTGGGATACGAATGGCGGCCACCCAGCTACAAGCATCAATTAAAAGGTGTCTGCAGTTTACCTCAACGTTCGAATGGGGCCAAGAGGTTAACCAGCAGCACACTTCTCTACTGGGTGGCCGGCCGTTCGGGAGTTTTTTTGGTAGTAAAAAGGGGAATGGTATAGAGTCCACATGAACGGGAAAACATGAATTAAACCAGCAAATGACCGATAAGTCTCTGTAAGTTCAAGACAGAGAGATCTGTCACAACTTACAGGAAAGATAGTTTGAAGAGACCCTGCTCAAATGAGCTTACAGTCTATAGGAGGTGGGGTATAAAACACATTAGGACAGGAAATAGCAATCAAATAAGGTGGGAGTGAAGCAGCGCTGGAGGAGAGAGTAGAGTGCTGCCTTTTAGGAGAGAGCAAGGGACGGGTATGTAAGGTAGAGGTTACTCTGGGAGGCCATAAGCTTTCCTAAAGAGATGGGTTTTTCCATATTTGCAAGGCCTGCAGAAGCCGGAGGAACTCCACTTAAGTGTTGAGCTATTTGGAATTGGTTTAACACTTAACGGTAAGACACAATAGCAATTAAATTGGCGTGAAGTGATTTTGGTGCCGGAGTCGTCCTTTAATCATGCCTAATCATGCTAAAGGCCTTGAGGCGGAAATCTTGTATATTTTAATCATGTGCTAGTATGTCTACCCTTGAATAAAATACCTATCTTGAATTGCCAATGATATGATGGCCGAGCTCTGCTTTATTTCCTTATTATTGTTAGGAGTAGTGGTACACTTTGGATATGGCAGGATACACTTATATTTTAGATGTAAACATTATTATCTATTGTTGTTCTAACAACATCACTGATAGGCCACACAAATCTGGCATGACCTGCAGTTTGGTAATTAAAACAATGGATAGTGCTAATAGAATCTTCTAAGAGGCATGCTTTCGTTTTCGGTGATTACCTAAATGCCAGTTGTTGCATAATGATGTATGCAAGCCATGAGAAATTTTAGTGCTGTTTAATTTATCATAAGCTATGAGGGACCAGCAATTGGTTGAGTGTTCTCTTATGGTTCCTGGGTTCCCCTGCTTTAATTAGATATCAGCGGCCAGTGACAGCCATGCTCCTTGGAATACCTGCAAAAGAAGGACATTCAGAAGTTAATATTCTTTTGGATATTTTCTTTAAGTATTTAATAATACAATAAAGTTGGTGGAAAAATTGTCCTGGTTTGTACTTTAAGCTTTAGATTAGAGACTGAATTCAAACATACAAACCACAACATGTTCTGATTATTATATAGAAAAAAGGGGAATTGCCCGAAACATACATTTCTAAGTATTGGTGCAGTGTAAACACCAAAATATATACAAAATACAGATTAGGGAACAGCCGCACACACAAAAATTATAGTTTTAAATTTTACAATGCTACTTAAAATTACCTATCTTTGCAAACCGATATGGGGATTCAGTTATACCACATGGTCATAGGGTGAGTGTGGCAGAATGATAGAGGATGGGTGTGACAGGGTAGGAGGATGAGTGTGACAGTCCGAGAGAGGTGAGTATGACAGAATTAGGAGGGGTTATTATAAGTGTGGATGTATGAAGGGGGATGACAGTATGTGAGGAGGATAACAGTGTGTTGGAAGATAACAGTGTGTGTGTGGGAGGGTGACAGTGTGTGTGCAGGGTGACAGTGTTTGGGGAGGGTGACAGTGTGTGTAATCAATTCCCTGGTGGTCTAGTGGTCTCCCTCCATGGTGGTCCAATGGCCTTCCTATCTGGTCTGCAGCTCTAGGTGAACATTTGCAGGCCATGTGGTAGATGTCTCCCAAACTCTGGCATTTGAAGTGTCAGAGTGTTGCCATGGTAACCTGCACCAATGTTCTGATTCGCTGAGCTTGCGAGTTCTCTACCACATGGTCTGCAGCTCTGCACCCAGACTGCTGCAGACCGGAGGCTGTGTTGGGCTCTCTCTCCCTCAGGGCAGACTGGGGCAAGCTGAAAGATCACTCTCACCTAAGGCAAGCTTAGATGGCCACGAGGGCCTAGTCAGCGCAAGGCGTTAGGCAACCACGTCATTCATTCATCATCAATTAGAGAGCCACCTCTGAGGTTAAGAACTCAAAGTGACTTTCAAATGTAAGTCCAAATTTAAGATTTCAGCTATTTTGGCCCTTGATTTGTAGTTCCCAACAATATCCATCCTTTCTTTGTTAGTTTCACAATGCATTAACATGATCTCTAATTTAAACCATAGCCTCATTTTCTGATCATTATTCTTGCTTTTCTGGATCCATCCAATAAAAGATGGATTATTGTCATAAACATCACATCATACACAACAGATTCAATGTCTCTGCTGTCACTGAACCTCTTCTCTCAGAAATTAATTTCACTTACATAAACACACCAGCTATTGCTTTTCATACAACTGAACTCGTTACAAAGACACTCCAGATACTCAATTAATACAGACAGCAGATTCACCACAAACACCAAATATTTAGTCTATTACGCTGACATTGCAGTCAGGCGTCTTGTGAGATCCCACTCATACACTTCTCTTGCATAATTCAGATTAACTCTCCACATGAAGATCAAATAAATGTTCGTTTACATGTACACATTTTCCCACCCATCATCAAAAGAAACAACCGTTTGCAAATAATCATAGTTACTGGAGGTAACTTTCATTGGTTTGCATTTTAATATCCCTCCTACCCTGTTAACAATCCACCCTTATTCCCTCCTCATATTTAACTTCTTGACTTCCTGAGTGCATTTTTGTTTCTCATTTCCTGCTTATATTTTCAAAAGGATCAGATTTCAACCCCCCCTCTTACTCTAACGCATGAATCTCCTGTTTGTTATATTATTATTTTATTACAACCAGTTCACTTTATTCTTTTTATGGAGTGGCTAAATGCCATCTACTGATAGCTTACAGGCTATGATTAATGCTGCTGATGCACCTTCTCTGGAAAAAGCCTTGAACAAAGCACTGCTTAATTTGTCACTGACACATGAGGGGGCAATGGTAACCTCTGTACATTACAACATACCATCTGATGAGTTTCAAGACTCTGATAATTCATCCCCTAAGGCCATAAGGCTTTCTAAATGCCACTGAAAAAGCTCTAATTCTAAGCCAAATTCAACTAAATGTAAGTCTCCTTCTAAGAAGCCAAATGTTCAAGGGGTATCCAGACTGTCCTCAGGCGAGGAAGACCATAATTGCCCACTTGACTTATCTGGGGTAAATGACTGGCAAGCAGAAGGTTCAGATAATGATGTTTGGATTGGGCTGCACAGTAAGTTAATAAGTCCAAATTTACTAAAGAATCCTTTGGGGGTGAACACCGCTCTATGGACCATTTATATAATACAGAGACTTTGGATGTCCAAAAAAAATGTGATAATATTAGATTTGTTTGGCAACGCAATGTTTGATCCACCCACTATTAGATACCATGCTTAGTGGAATGGTCTCCATCAGCCCACATTCTTGCAGTTTTGGCTATGCCACCCATTAATTAAGGAGATGAGAACCATAGAAATGAATGTCTACATCCAGTTCTCCCAGATACAATATCCTCCACACCTGACTTTGACTCTAGTATAGTCACCCTTATGACATGTGCAGGCAGAAACCCCAGGAAGGAGATTAAGAAAGGGCTTAAATTAGCCCAAGAGAAATCACTGCACTCTACATGCCCCATGGCTCAAATAGTATACCTAGCAGATGCTAGGCACTGCTTTAAATGTCTTTTCAGTTTGGGAATTGGTGCAAGGTGGCATTTGCCATACTGGAAATGCTAACATAGCACTTTCTACTGAAAGGAATTGTTATGCATTGAACCATAATTAGCGTAATTGTGTTCGAGAGAGCTGGGCCCACAAGGCTTTTTGGAGAACTCTTTTTAAAAGAGCTTCAAAAACATGTCAATATATTTTTTACCTTCAAGGACCACTCTAGGCACCCAGACCACTTCAGCTCAATTAAGTGGTCTGGGTGCCAGGTCCATCTAGGATTAAGCCTTTCTGCTGTAAACATAGCAGTTTCAGAGAAACTGCTATGTTTACAGTAGGGTTAAGCCAGCCTCTAGTGGCGCTTCCGCGCTTCTCACTGTGATTTTCACAGTGAGAAGACGCCAGCGTCCATAGGAAAGCATTGAGAATGCTTTCCTATGGACTGGCTGAATAGGCGCGCGGCTCTTGCTGCACATGCGCATTCAGCTGATGACATCAGAAGAGGGAGGAGAGTCCCAACGCCTAGGGAGCCCGGCGCTGGAAAAAAGGTAAGGAATTAACGTAGCTGGAGGGGGGACTTTGAGGGTGGGGGGCACCCTCAGGGCACTATAGTGCCAGGAAAACGAGTTTGTTTTCCTGGCACTATAGTGGTCCTTTAAATAAAGCTCAAACATCCCTTAGGAAAGCTCCCAAGCTTTGTGTTGTCCATCATTACGTAGATCTTACTTATCCAGTGCATTCCAACTCCTTATTGCCTATGTGCAGTCTCATAAACCCATCACAGTAGCCACGCTGGCATGTTGGGTTAAATGGCTTCTGTCATTCTGTCCCCACTTTCAGAGCACATTCTACCAGGGTTCCGTTTCCTCCACAGTCTTCTCCTCAGGGGCATCCCTCTCGGATATCCTTCACTCCACATATTGGTCTCGAGAGAATACCTTTCTACTTTCGTCCTACTCCTCGCGCTGCTTTTTCTTTCATATCAGAGCATCAAAAGTGCAAATATGATCCTTCTATCATGCCATAAAATAATATTAATTATAATAATGACAGGAGGTGAATATATCCCACCCTTTTTAGAATCCCCTGTCTTTTTCTTCAGGTTTCAAGTCTTTGTTAAGGATGGCGGTTCATAGGATGTTCTTTGAACTATACTTTATTCATGACAAAGAAGAAGAAAGTGACCTCAGTGACACTGTCTTTTATTGACAGTAAAGAAAGAATGTAAATATTAGCCTCCTGTCATTATCAACATTGAGCCATTAAGCCAACATTAAACCAAACATTAAGCCAACATTAAACCAAAAACTAATTACTATATATTGGGGCTGATGTGTACTGTGGTCGTTGCTGCCACCCAGGAGTGATGGGAATGAGAGCAGGACTTATCTTTTTGTATTTGTATTCACTTTTTGTATCACACAGCTTTGTTACAATGCAGCCGCCCATCCCATGTGTTCCCTATTAAGGGTTAATAAATATATAGGGGTGTATATAAAAAACACCCCTCTCTGTCTCATTAGAGATATCTTTGCCAGAAGCTCAATGAAGCAGGCTGAAGGGTCAGTGTAGGACTTGCTTAGGGGGGTCTGCCTTGATGTTGGCAGGCGGGCATTCCCTCCAGTGGCCATTGGAGTAACTAAATGACCTCCATTTGTTTAAATATACATAGAGATTAAGGAGAGAGCACAGGTAACTTTTTTCCCTTTTTTTTTTTTCCTTTTTTTTTCTTTGGTTTTTACTATATGTATTGGAGTTGTTGCTGCCACCCAGGAGTGATGGGAATGAGCGCAGGACTTATCTTTTTGTATTAAGATTATTTTGTCACTAAAAACTAGTGTAGCCTACAACTATGGTGCATGTAAAGTTGCCAGTCATCACTAGCACGTGAGAAATTATGTGTGCGGTACCTGGGAGGCCATAAACTATTTAAAAACAGTTAATGAGCAACCAAAGCAGGCAAACTATCTGCAGGCCGCAAAGAAGACAGTGGTGGGTTACCAGTTGGATAGAGTTGCCTGGTCTACAAACCCTACCCCAGGAGGAGGCAGCCATCAGTAATCCAGCTATTGTGGACTACACACCTCCCTTACACTTTGCCAGCATTATGGCTGTAAGAGCATCATTGGAGATGTAATCCACAACATCTGGAGTGCCAAAGTTTGCCCCACCCTGCCATAACTTGTTCTTATTCCATGGCTTAAAAACGTAGCCTAATTACATTTCACACTTGTTATCTACTCTCACCTTATAATTGATCTGATCAATTCTGTTGGTAAAATGTTAAGTAAAAATGATAAACTACACTTTAATGAGTAGAATGTGTGCTGATGTTGTTTACGAAAAGAGAAGTTCTGACTTTCTTATCATATTTACGTCTCAGAGTTTAAAATGTACTATGCTAAACATTTTTTTTTTTTATTGTTTGTTTAGAAAAGGATAAGAAAAAAAAAGCCCTATGTGTTTTGTTTGTAACCTCCCTTTGTCATAGGCTCTGCTTTTAGGGGGGGCAGGGGTATTTTCATCAGGGCTTATATTTGTGGCAGTTTTGGGTAAAGTTGCAGAATCATTCATTTTCTTATGTTACGTGACAGCCCCAGACAGTCTGGTATTTTAAGGGGATTTTAAAAAAATTCACCTGACCTATGTGAATCAGATAAACACACAAAATCAGGAATGCTACAACATTCACGTCTAAATTAATCTCACCTTTCCGAGTATTTTGTTCAACCACACATTACTCACAGTACAGAATTTAGAATCAATATTTCCTCGTTATCTGAACAATATCATGGTTAAAGTTTTCCTGATCCTCCACGCTAATAATGTAATCTTCCACATCATCTTCCATTTCTAGAGCATTTGACCAATATGTCCCACAGTCCTAATTCTATTCTCACTATATTTAGTCTGGTTCAAACTTTTAAAAATCATAGTCATTACTTCCCCTATGTGCTTCTGCCTTCACTGGTTATCAGCTTTGCAAACCACTCCTTAGGGACCACCATTAATCCATCTTTTTGTATTTTAATCAGAATGCAAACTGACCCTTTAGTGGTATTTAAAGACTGGTTGAACACTAGATCAGGGCTGGGCAAAAGGTAAATCCCCAGATGTTGGTGAACTACAAACCTTGGAAGTTGCAGTTCTACAACATTGGGAGATTTGCTGTTTGCCCACCTCTGCTCTAGATCATGGGTTGTGAAGGTCAGAAACAAAGCATCCCTGCAATTCATCTAAGACTTGCATAGAGATCAGTCAGTTAATACTTCATTAATGCTGTCATATTGACCTGCACTAGTGAAAGTGACTCACATGCTTAAATGTTCTCTGGGTCTGCTCTATAGGACAGACTTTAAACAATATGGCTGGTCTTGATCTCTTTTCAAACTTTACCCATGTCTATATTAGAAGATAAATCACTCAGCAGCAGCCCAATCTTAAAGTGGTAGATCACTTTATTAAAATGTACTCTAAGGAAGCCTATATATAAAAATGAATTGTAATATCAAACATCACTGCTTTCATTAGCAAGTAGGTCATTACTAAAAAATATATAGTTCATATTAATTCTAATGTGTTTTTATAGATCAAATGTAATTGTCCTACAGTAGTTTTTATTGAATACACACCTGGTTGCTTTCATGACAAGGGGTTATGAAATCTACATCATATTATGATGAATTGTATACCACATGATATAAAATGCATGCCTTTGGACATTAAGGGTTAATTTACAATCAAATCAGAATAGATGAGCTTAGCAGTTGTACATAATGTTACAGTTTTATACCAAGTTTGCAAAGCATGAAATATGATTTTTTTTCTTTATGTATTCCTATTGTCTTTGTAAAATAAATCATGCACAAGTCACCATCTGTGTTAATATCTTCCTATTATTCAACCTAAGAGCTAATACAGTTCTTTCCCAATTTATTTTTACACTAGTAAAAGTTAAGCCAATTATTTCGGCAGAGTTTTCATTATTTCATGAATTTATAATAGTTCGTATTTACCTCACAGGGTAGTGACAAGAGTTTAGCATTTTGGAGATCACTTGTCAGTTGATATTAAGATCAAGATTAATGCAAATTGACGAAATGTATTTTTCGACATTGGGATGCGATAGAATACATTAAAACATTGTTGCAAATAATTAAGCTCCATCAAGTTCTACATAGAATTAAACATACATGTTATACATAGAATTAAAAAAAAAAAAACTTAAAGAAATATTTTAAACCCAAAGTTGCCATTTGTACAAGTCTTATAAGCGAATATTAATTTGCAAAATGTACTCTTGTTTTAGTAATTGTATGTTAATGGATCACTTTACTAACATTGAAATCACAATTATGCACAAATTCATTCTGGACACTCCTACATCAACAATTCTGTATATTTACCTTAAAAGTGTCAACCAAGAATTAGTGGTAACTTTGCACATAAAAAAATTGGATAAAAGTTAAAATTCTGCTCAGTGGCATCAAATCACTGAGATCTATAGGTGGAATGGAAAATAAAGAGTTTTGATTTTTTGAAAATTATTATATATAAAAAAAAAATCTGCTGCCCTTAATTTATGGGGTCAACCAAATCAAAACGAAACTATATAGGCATGAGTAACCCATAACGTTTTCATAATATCTGTGCAAGCTACTGTATCAATCTGAGATTCCTAAACGACAGCCTATGCAATAATTCTTCATAGTGAGTTATTTTTTTATGTTTTATTACAGTCACATTAAATACACCACATTATATGATAATTACACCAGCAAATGTCTTTGGAAGAGGAGGCAAATTGCACAAACCTTGTTAATTAGCACATAATTTAAAGTTTGAACCATTACAGACGACAAAGACGTGTAATTAACGATTCGGCGTTCATCTCCTGCCGTAAGAGTGCAGAGAGTTTATCAATTTAAAGAGAACGTTCCATGATGAACATGCCTTGCAATCTGTGATCAAATATTCCTGCACCTTGCATATTTTACTCATTGAACACCGCTCACACAATCTACAACGCATTAGCTGCTAGTGCTTCCACTTTGTTTTGGCCCACTATTATGAAAACTAATAAATTCGTCAAGTTGAATTAAGCATCCAAATCAGATGAGGCATAGCAGATTACATATTGAAGTTCTGTGTCTCCCCAGACTAAATGAGATTTCAATGTAATAATTCCTTCCTGGCCCGGCCATAATTCGCTTAGAGATGTTGCTGTAGTAGGTACACAGTTCCATTCACACAATAATTAAATGATCGTCAAACTCTTAAGTTTGATTTATTTCATTTCTTGGAGATGGCGACAGTGAAAGCTGTACAATGCAATTTTGGGAATTTCCTTAAAAAAAAACCAAAACAAAGCAAACCAAACACACACACACACACACACACAGAAATAAAAAAAGACTAAATAAATAAAGACTTACCCGTGATGCTGAGATAGAGGCACGTGAGTGTGCACTTACTTGCGATGTGATTTTTAAATGCCAAGAAGTAAGATGGTGCATTCTCGAACGATTTGCAATGAGGGCAGCAGGGCAAGGATGCTGTTTGTCTTTGGTCGCGATGGGGTTAAATCTGTTTCTTTTAGGCAGTGTATATTAAGAGGGATTTAAATCAGATTTAATGGAATTACTTATGGTTAAGCTAAGCATTTAAAAAAAAGAATAATAACTAAAAAAAACAAAAAACCAACAACAACAAAACAATAATAGCAATACAAATCAGGGACTACCCCCTCTCTCCCTCCAAAGCATTTTTTAGGCAAGTGTGCATCGCTACCTTACCCCTTGGGATCCTGCCATTCATGCTGCAGCATAATACAATCAATAGCTTTAACCCTGTTAGAGCCAGATTAATGACAACACTAGCCATGTTAAGGTTTGATATTTTGTAATCATTTTATAGGGTCACCTTATCTGAGCCAGGATGTGAAGTTGGCATAATGCTATAAATAGCACCAGGCTGGGTGACCCTCCTAAACAAGCAGGTGCTGGGATCTATTTAAGGAAGGGGGAGTAGAGTGAGTCTCCATGCGCCCAATGCAAAGCTAGTCTCCCTCGGTGTGACCACAGGGTGTATTCATCAAACAGGAGGCATGATGTATATGCCATTAAAAGCTATATGTGGAGTGGGGGGTGACCTATGCCACTGGCTGGGGGGGAGACCGCACCACTCAGCACATTACAGGGTTATTGACATTACCTCTCCAGAAAGACATTCACTCTCTGCTGTGTAATGTAAATGTCATGGATAAAACACACACACACATATATATACACATCATAAGTCAGATCAGTTTAATAGTTAATAAGGAAAGAAAATGAATGAAAACAAGACTATACACATTGATCATCAAACAGCTGTATCAATCCATGTATCTCTTTACACATTTATAGATACACCAAACACACACACAAGCACACTACCCAATCACAGATCAGCACTGAGCCCAAAGATGAGTGACAGGCAGTCAGTGAGTGCCTCCCAACCAATACACATTGATGCCTCCTCTTCTCACACACTACCTGACAGGCCAAGGTGTGCAGCAGGACACCAGCATCATCAGCACCATCAGCACCAACATCAGCAGCAGCCTGCACATCAGCCAGGAGAGACAGACAGACAGGGCTCCTGGGAGACACGGGCAGCTTTCAATAGAGATAGAAAGTAGAGAAGGGCTTATAGTGAGACAGATCCTTAAAGTACTGCTGGCACCGACATCAAAGCCCACTGGCACACAAGGCTAGCACTGTGACAGAGGGGTATGGGCAAAGCTCTGCTGGGACACATGGGTCCATTTAAATGGGTCCAAGACTCCTCTGTGCTTGTTGGTTGTCTGGAGACTGGTTACTGATAGAAGGCTGAGTGGCAAAGTGCTAGGGACTAGCTGTATAATTAATTATATCAAACATTAACACAGAGAGACTGAGAGACACAGAGAGAGACACACAGAGAGGTAGAGACAGAGACACAAGGAGAGACACACAGAGAGGGAGAGACTGAGAGACACAGATAGAGACACACAGAGAAGGAGAGACTGAGAGACACAGGGAGAGGGAGAGACTGAGAGACACAGAGAGGGGAGAGAGACATAGAAAGGGACAGTGAGAGACACAGAGAGAGGGACACAGAGAGAAGGAGAGAGACATGGAATAAGAGGAGAAAGAAAAGGAAAGAGAGAAAGAAACATAGAGAGGGATAGACAGAGAGAAAGAGGGAGAGCAATAGGAGGAAAAAAGAGAAAGTGAGAGAAAGATATATAGAAGAAGAAAGACAGAGAGAGAGAGAGAGAGAGAGAGAGAGAGAGAGAGAGAGAGAGAGAGAGAGAGAGAGAGAGAGAGAGAGAGGGGACCCTGGGTGGGAGGAGTAATAGTGAGAGAGAAAGGGAAATATTAGAAGATCTACTATTTACTCTCGGGGGGAGGAGGGGGATAGGCAAAGCCACGTTACTTACAGGGACATTGAGAGACACAGAGTCCGGTCCATATAGCAGAAGGCAGTGAGAGGGAGGTCAGAGAAAGCCAGACAGCTGTTCAGGCAGCAGGAAGACAGCCCTGACCTACAAACCGCGGCAGATTTGAAGATCCAGGAGCCTCTCTCCAGCCAAACCCTGCCTGCTGCCTTTAAGGGTGCTATATCTACATTCCCCCCTCCCCGGCCGGTCGGCGACCACCAGCCGCAGTCATGATGATGATGTCCCTGAACAGCAAGCAGCCCTTCAGCATGGCCCACAGCAGCCTGCAGGACGAGCCCAAATACTCCCTGCACTCCTCGTCCTCCCCGCACTCCTCATCCTCGGCCACCAGCTCCCCCAGCATCAGCAGCGGCAGGACCAGCTCCGGGGGTGGGGGCAGCAGCTCGGAGGCGATGAGAAGAGCTTGTCTGCCCACCCCACCGGTATGTAGTGAGCATAATCACCGCTCCCAGGCACAGCCAGTCTGACAGCCCCTTTATCTGCCTGATGTTTTTTTCATGTGTGCACAGCAAATCACCCAACACATAGCATGCTTTCACCCCCTTCATTCCTCTCCCTCTCTCTCTCTCTCTGTCTCTTTTTTGCCTCCACTTATGTATTCAGCCGGTCTTGCCTTTCATATTAATTTTTATGACCTGGGATGTTGCATGTATCTTGTGTTGTGTGTGTGTGTCTAGGCGTGTTATCTCTCTCTCTGTCTGTCTTCCTTTTTAGAACCCTCATTTTTTTAACATTCCAGAAAAGTTTGTTTAATGGTTGAATTCCCAGCAGACAGTGATGTGCTCTTTCTATTTGACATTGCAGAGCAATATATTTGGAGGTCTGGATGAAAGCTTGCTGGCCCGTGCTGAAGCTCTGGCTGCGGTGGACATAGTGTCTCAGTGCAAGAGCCAGCACCATCACCACCACCACCAGCCCCACCACAGCCCCTTCAAGCCCGACGCTACCTACCACACCATGAACACCATCCCTTGCACCTCTGCCTCCTCGTCTTCTTCAGTCCCCATCTCGCATCCTTCTGGGGTGTCTGGCTCCCACCATCACCACCACCATCATCACCACCACCACCAGCCTTTGGAAGGGGAACTGCTGGACCACATCACCCCTGGCTTGACGCTGGGGGCCATGACTGGACCTGATGGATCTGTGGTGTCCACTCCAGCTCACTCTCACATGGCCAGCATGAACCCAATGCACCAGGCTGCATTGAGCATGGCACATGCCCATGGCTTGCCATCCCACATGGGCTGCATGAGTGATGTGGACGCAGATCCAAGAGACTTGGAAGCCTTTGCTGAGAGGTTCAAACAGAGGAGAATCAAACTTGGGGTGACCCAGGCAGATGTGGGAGCTGCTCTTGCCAACCTGAAGATCCCAGGAGTGGGTTCTCTCAGCCAGAGCACCATCTGTCGTTTTGAGTCCCTCACCCTCTCCCACAACAACATGATAGCCCTCAAGCCCATTTTGCAAGCCTGGCTGGAGGAGGCTGAGAAGTCCCACCGGGAGAAGCTCACCAAGCCAGAGCTTTTTAACGGGGCCGAGAAGAAGAGGAAAAGGACCTCCATAGCGGCTCCAGAGAAGAGGTCCTTGGAAGCCTACTTCGCCATCCAGCCTAGACCTTCCTCCGAGAAGATAGCAGCTATTGCTGAGAAGCTGGACCTTAAGAAGAACGTGGTCCGAGTCTGGTTCTGCAACCAAAGGCAGAAGCAGAAAAGGATGAAATATTCAGCTGGGATTTAAAGTATTGTGGGTTTTTTTTAAAGGAATTTTCTACGAACACTACAGATTTTAATGTTTTTAAGTATAAAACTATATATATATATATATACATATGTATATAAATATATACATCTTTATCATACATGACATTTGTCAGCTGGACTATGGACCAGGACCAACCATCTCAAATTATTATTGTTTTGTTTTTTCTTGTTTTGTTTTTGGACAGAAACAAACCTATATATATATATATATTAAAATATAAAAAAACAAACAAACAACAAACTCATAAATGTGCTGCTGACCAGAATTCCAGTCAGTTTTTAATGGATCGGGATTAACAAGTAAGATCAGCTTTCTTAATTTTTTTCCCTCCCCGATTTTAATGCACAATGAAGCTATTTTTAAGAGAAAAATAAAATAAAAAAAGGCACAAAGAAACGAGACTGACACTAATGCTGGGGACTCGAGGCTAATTCGAGAAAAATAAAAGACAGATCACTTTGGATCTTAAAGCAATTGCAATCATTTTGTGCGATTACTTGCTATATTAGATATAAATATATACATATATTTTTAATGTGATGACTATAATTGTCCCTTGTTGTGATATTGAGTCTAAGAAAAGTCACCGTTCTGTATGTCAGATATATCTTACTTTATGTTTATTTGTTTTGTTTAGTTCTCTCTCTTTTTATACAACCTATTGAGTATTGGGATGTTGGCAGTGTATTGCTTTAAATAGCTCGTTGGTTTAATTCTGTTGCTATTTAATGATTATTTAATATTATGATGATAATTATTCATATCATTTCTGCCTAATCAAAATCACCCGTATAAAAAGAACACGACTCATTTTGTTTAAAAGGAATTTAAAAAAAAATTAAAAAATTCAAATCATTATTTATTCTAATTAACATTTACATAGAAGATTACACCTGTAGATTGCCATTAATGATCTTTACAGTACTGAGCCATTTCCTGGTTCTTTTATATTGTCTGTTTCTTTGAAAACATGAATGGTCTAAGAATACTTTAATTTAGCTGCATATTTAATGGGGATCTCCTCTTTACCAACCACAAGCAGTTCCCAAATAAGAGATGCACAAACTAAGCACTTAGTTATGAATCTAAGATCTTATAAATAATATCCATTCTTGTAAATTTATGATTTAGTGTTATTGTTTTTCTCCATCACTGGGAGAAAAAGCATAGAACGTTTTTCAAATCATAGCAGTCTGTGCTTTTTAACTATTAATAGACATTGGAGTGTAAATAGTCTATCACAAACCTACACACACATTTATATATTATTACAGATTTTTTTCTGTATTAATGTTCCAGTATTATTTACAGGTTTTTATGTCTTGTAAAAAAAATTAAAAAAAATAAAATAAATTTCGTTGTTTTATCAATAGATTGTTTTATTTATTGCGGTAATTGTATTAAGTTATTCCGGTTGTTGTTGAATGGTTTTTCATTAAAATCAAGATTTGGACCAGCGATGAGCAATGCATGATTATTTTAAGTATATTGGATAATTTATGACATCGTGTTACAGTGTGTATCAGAGATCAATTTTATTATAACACCGATAACACATGTTTAATAACTTCATGTATTTTGCTAGTGTTTTAGAGTGCGTGGAGGTTTAGACACTAAAAGGGGAATTTTGGAGAACTGACAAGCGAATTTTATAAAAAATATAGGCAAAAATAGATGTTTGAAAACATAGCTGCCTACATGTTTTTCTTCAAGCTCGGCTAATTTTGGCTTACATTTATTTTTATTTTTTTGCTAATTTATCACAAATTTCTATATATAAAATAAATATATATGAAAAATTTGCAAAAAAATAGAAAAAAGTGTATATGTATATATATATTTTTTTAGAATATACAAGTGTATATGTATGGTTATGGTAAATAATAATTGGTTAATTACTAATTAGGCCTACGTGTGAACACACAAAGCAACACACAGTTAAATCCATAAAGTAAAACCTTTATTTTGATTTTCCCTTGTTTTTCTTCTCCCAGCAATTAGTATATTTAATATTGACCCTTGCTAATGTATTATTTACTTGGAGTGTCAGGGATCTGTTAATAGACTCGCAGGGATCCCAGGGGTCCAGTGCAGGGACTTGCTCCAAGTTTGCAAACAGTCTTATTGAGTGTTGTAGACCCCTTTACTGACCTGCTTGCTGTCTCATGCAGACTGTCTGCCTACTGACACAGGACAGACAGGAAATAGTCACAAACACTTCCTTAGTGAACCCCATCCATTCCTTCCACTAGGGACAAATAGTGTCAGTAAGCACTCATTATAGTTCAAGAGTTCATTTAGTCTATGAAAGCTTTATTTAAACTGACATTAAATAGGAGAATTAAGTTCACGAATCCATTTACATTACATTACAACTAATATCATACGCAAAAAACGAAATTGTTGATTTATGAATTTATTTTTAAATTTAAAATTCACTTGAATTTTAATTTTTTTTTATTGATCAGATCAAGCATGTTACACGCTGACACATGAACTTGTGGGTTTTATAGTTATGTAAATGGCTAAATAACTGGTGGTATTCTAAAAAAAAGCTCCAAAGACAATCAGATTATATGAGATGTCAGAGTTCTAGGAGCTGGTACGGTAGAATTCTCAGTGTTTTGAATGTGCGTGGAGAGTGCAGCAGGACTATTAATCCTCCTCTCCCAGTGGAGATTTCAGCACCACGAACAGCTCCCACTGTCCCAGCCTCAGCCTCCCTGGAGCTGTCTTTCCCCAGTACTGTCTGCAGACACAGGGTTGCTTGTTCCTTTACATTACACTTAGCCCATTGGCTGTATATTTGAATACTGTCATGTTATGCTGTCAACTTTCAGGGGAAGTGTCCAGCTATGCAGGAGTTGTGCAGACAATGTATTTGTTCTATATAGTGTTTACACTTAAGTTGATCAGTCAGGGCAAATATTAGTCCCTGTATATTAGTATTCAGTGCACAGAAATATAGATAACTGGTAGATCAGGAATTCCAATCTATTCAGTGGTCCCCAATACATTTGTATATATTTTACAGATCTTTCCTAGTGGTCATTGCAGACTGCTCTGTCAATCCCATGTACCCTGGCACAGGTACAAATTTGAGTAAAGTATATTAATATTATCAGTAGGTTCTATACCCATCTGACATGAGGGGGCACGAAATAGGCTCTACTATATCTGCATTGTATTTCAGAAAAACTACTACATGGGGCACATTGCTTGAAGCATGAGGCACTATAATATATCTTAAAGCCCACAACAGCTCTAATAGATGTAACCATGACATATTCTCATTATTGCACGAAGGCCTGTTTTCAAGAGCATCAGCAGTTACAGTGGTTTGTAAAACAAGCAAACACACACCAAACAACAACAAACACACACAGACAATTGTGCAATACTTTCTAATTAATCAGTAGCCGTGTATCTTACTGCTTTCGTGTGAATTTGATGTTTATAAATTGCTGATTTTCTTCTCTTGTTAATTTTTTTTTTTTTTTAAGTGAAGGAAATCAGCAGATAGCTAAATCAGACTAGCATGCACTTGGTTTCAAGTTGGTTTTGTTATACTGTTGTTTACATTGCAGTTAATGAATAGTAATTGCAAACCTAAATGTAGTTCTTGCTCAACTTGAATACTGTTTCTATAAATTTTACTACACAAATCTCACCTGTGTCAAGTTGTCTGTATGGTAAGTTCTAAGGGAGGAAAGACATGAAGTTAAAATGAACAAAAAAATAATTCTGAAATATTGGTTCCAAAACTACAATTATTTAATTATGTAAGCCTTATCTCCTTAAAGCTTTTTTTACATTAATATAAAATTTTGTTCTTACACTCCCAGTCAAGGGGAAAATATGAGCACACCCTGCCAATTTTAGTGTTATACAGAATATATATATAATATATTAATCTATAAATATAAAAAGATCTATATCACGAGCTGTTAAAATAAAGCTAACTGCTCATTTTGATGATCTATCTGTTGGTATCACAGTCAGATAGTCTTAGTACTTTTTCGTCCTTTCTAATATCCAAGTTATGAGAGACACAGTATAGCATTATCAATCCAAACTTTCTCTTGATATAATATTCTACTGCGCAGGAGAGGATAAAAAAAAAATCATAAGAAAAACCACTAGTGTTATACATGAAGAAACTACTGCGACTGTCAAATCTAATAACAACATACAAATAAATAAACAAGCAAACTAGGTATTATTATTTTAATTATTCACACCTCATTCCCTTTTAAATTGTTACTATAATATATTCAGACTGTATTTACTGTGTAGTAATTTGTGCTGAGTTAGAAATTGTCTTAAATCAATCAAAATAGACGAATTTGATTTAAAACCCCAGCTATTTCAGCCTAATTGTCCAGGGTGGTTGTCATCTCATTAAAATCACTGTTTAGTGAATGTACCTCTACCAACAACTAATAAAGACTCCCCCTCCCAATCGGGCGATGGAAAAATGTTACTATGTTATGGGCATAAAGGATATCAGCTATATTCAATCTCTAGGTCTTAAATGACTGTGGACCGGAAGTTCTCAATACTGGCTGAGGATGGTGGGGTTTATAATCTACACTGCTTTTCAATGCATTACATAATGTTTGCTTACTTACAGTGACTCGAGCCTCCTCCATAGATGTTAACCATCCAATAAAACCATTTTTACGAGTGAATTAATAAATTACACAGTGAATTATGAAATGTAGCTAATTAGAGGGAATAAGTAAGAAATCATTAGTTATTTCTGCTAATTAGTGCGGGTCAGGGAGGGCTGGGAATTAAAATGAAGTTGGCAGAGTGAGTTTCACTGCTTGACATTCCCAATCTGGAGGCACAAGGCTGCTCCCCAGTGAGAAGGCTTCTCCCTATTTAACTATCGCACACTGCAAATACAATTATGGTACATGGGATAATGGGACAGGCTTCAGAAAGAAAACTAAACCTACAATGGATTGAAATTAAACGACAAGACACAGAGGGAAACAAATAAAATGCAAAATTACATATTCGTAAGGAAAATAAAAACTTAAAAAAACAAACAAACATACCTATATTTATTCAATAAGGGGAAATTATTGAAATGTTCTCAATATGTTAATATACAACTAAGATTATTAACATTTAAACATTTTTGATGTGATCGGTCTGTCTATCTATCTATCTATCTATCTACCATCCCTAAAAAGATCAAGAATAGTATGTTAAAATATTGGGATATTTTTATATAAATATATATTGTAAAGAAAATTCAGTTTTACTGTAGTAATTATATGCTTCTTCATGTATTTGTCTAGAAACCCATCATTATTCAATTGCAATTTGTTGGGTTTCCCCTCCCCCTCCCAGCAGTCTGGGATGTTGATAAAAAATGAATGAAGCAGTAGTTGCTGGTCTGTGTCTGGGGACCAGAGGATGGAATCTTTGTGACTGTACATTTACACCTAGTGATATTCAGGATGGGTTTTAATCTGGAATTAGATAATATCCACAGTCCTAAAATAGCACAGCCCACACTCTAGCAGTCTGTGGCTTTGATGTGTAGTACTGTCCCTCTCTATAGAGAGGGATGTGTCTGCCACATATATCTTTGGTCTCCAATTACCTTATCTTTAATAATAGATAGCTGTGATAGGATGCAAGATCGTTTATTGTTTTTTTTTTTTTTTTAATTAAGTTATGTAAAATTAATGGATTGCTTGCCTATAAAATGCAGTGTTTCCCACAAGCTAATCGATGGGACTTGGCTGTGGTCCTGGGATTACATACAGAGCTTTCTGCAGGTGAGTACTGACCCTGCTGGTAAATGCCCCTATGTCTGATAGCGAAATAATGGGATTGGCCAGTTCTGGGAATCCAACTCCCATCATATAACTGCCTGAGCATGATGGGGATTGCAGTACACAGCAGGACGGGTGTGAAAAGTTTGGACTATATCTGCAAGTTTGAAAGTAGAAAAAAAATATGTCAGCGACCACCACCGGTGACACAAAATATAATGAATATATGGAACAATATGTGGTGATACAATTACTGGGAGGCGATTAGGATTATGTAAATAAATTGAGATGTCTAGTGGGTTTGCACACTGCTAGTATAGCACACAGAACATATACAATAAACGAAAATAGATATCTAATAACGAATAAATACAGATCATGCTATTCATATTAGATTCTATGCAATTTTAAAGATTCATTCGCTGGTCAGCTAGTCTTGTTGCAATAATTAC